TTAATAGTGAAACTATGTTACATCTTTCTGTAAAAGCCCTATTTTACGTGTCAAAAAGTAATTGAAAGCACTCCTGAAATTCAACAACTCGTAAAAAAACAAACATTAAACAATTTAAAAAGCAATAAATCGAATCATAAACATAGTTGCGGTGGATAAAAGATAATACAAATAATAGTTTTTATTTTATTTTCATAAGAAATTAAAAAAAAAACTTGTAACTCAAAAAGAAAGTGTTAAAATAAGAAGCTCGATATATTTTATAAAAACAAACTAAGATACAATTTTAAAAACAGTTTCGAAAATTCAAGACGATTATCTGTATTTAAAAAAATATATATATAAAGAAAAAATGAAAATGCAGTCATCCATCAAGTTGTATCAAAAAACAAATTTCAAGTCCAGATTAAATCACTCTTAAGATCATCAAATATCCGACAGCCAAAGCGAGCGAAATACTTTTCCCTCCATTTTCCCTATAAGAGGGAAAAACTTCGGAGTTGGTAGGGAAATATCTCGTCTACGAGACGTTATTCCAAAAACGAGACGTTAGTCTGGAAAAGAGATTGCACCTACTAGGTCAGCAGACAAAGTTACTAGCTACGCCGTATTGATCTACGTCTGGAAATTTCCGACAGGCCAGACACTCTTTACTCAAAACTTTTGAGCGGGACTTCTCATTTGGAAAACTGTCTCAAAACTTTTATGAATTGTTTTTAAGCAATAAATAAATAAATATTTGTCAACCTCTTCAATTAAAAAGAAAGACAAAAGATAGAATTTCGAGCAGTTAAATCGTAATACTTTTTCGGAAAGAGTATCTAACTTTTACAATAGAATTACACAAAAATAAAATAAATAAGGGATAGAGGGAGACAGTAGCAATACAATTCCAATTAGCGGTTTATTTTATTTTTTAAACGAATTATAATAAATTTGTCAGCTAACTAGTACAGTTCTGTTATGTTATGCGTGTAATCGCGAAATAAAAGAGTTGCGGAATATGTTTTGAAAAATCCAATTGCGCAAGTTCAAATGATAAAGAAATTAAGATTTCATAAGCCATTCAATGTGATTAAAAGCAAGCAATTTATATAAATTTCAGCTCTCTCAATTTAGTATTAACTTCCGCTTAATTTTTCGTATGAAAAAACCTACCTTTAAGAAAGAAAAAAATCGGGTTAAGAATGTTGCAACAGAATAAATAAAAAGTACATTTTTTAATAAAAAATATAGTTTCAATTTAGTTTAATTTGTTACCAAATTTGTATTAACATCTATCCTTTTTCTAAAACAACAAAAGCTCTAAAACATCCACCATCATTAGAAATATATACTCTAAACTTTAATTTTGGTAAACAAATAAATAAATAAAAATAAGTATATAATAAGCATTTTTTTGGAAGGATAATGCAAAATAAAATAAAATCTAATTTCTGAAATTTTACGATTCCTTTTTAAAATAAATACAATAAAGATTAATAGCAATTGCAATCACCATATAAATAATAGTTTAATTATTTTATTATTTACTAAAGTAAGAAGAAAAAAAACGAAAAAGAGATCTGCTTAAAAATGGGAGTAACATTGATTTTCACTACTTTAAATTAATTTATGTATACTATTTCGGTATCTGAAAATTTCTCTGCAAGTATTCATGCATGAGTAATTTGATCCCAAAACGTTTGAATATTTATAATTTCCGTTTAACACAAAAGTTTTCAACCATTTTCTTTTAAATTACAAAATAGGAGGGGGCATTCATCAATTAAAAAAAAATGTTCATTGCTTTAAACCTGCTATAAGAAGAATTGTAACCAATATATTCTCCATATTTGACCGATAGTTACTACAGTTGCTTTATTTTTAATGCTTTAGGAGAAATTCGTCTTATCAATTAATAATTATTTTTTTCTTTTTCGTCTTGTTTCTTGTTCGTTCTTTTTCGTCTTATTAATTATCTCCTTTTTACTTTTGAGCAATGCATTTCTGACTCCGAACATTTGTTTTTTTAAATATTTATCAATATCGCTTAAACTTCTTCTTTTTTTAATATGAAAACATTTCAATCATAAACATTTAACAAACTAGTAATACTAACATGCAGCATTTTTTGCAACAAAGTAACATGATTAACACATTTTAAAAAAAAAAAGATTTTTTTTGAGTCTTAAAGTGATCTACTATTTTTTTTTTTTTTTTTAATTTTGAGACTTAATTATTAAAACTGAAGATATATCTAAAAAAATTTTTGTGCAATCTTGTTTTCATAGAAGTTTTTAGAACATTTTTGAAACATTTTAATTTGATCGAAAAAAATTTTAATTTTATCGAGACTTAGATTGATAACAAAATTAGATTACGTAGCAAGAATTTGAAAAAAATAATGAAAATAAAAATAATAAAGAATTAAAAGAGCATAACCTTGTAAGATTTGTATCAAATAATTTTGTTTTATTTTAATTAAGAGAGTATTTGTTTATAAATAAGATTTAATTAATTAATTTATTTTTACTTTTCCTCAAATTACTTCAGCTTTACTAAATGTTTAAAGTTATTTAAACATCTTACCTATTTATGTTTAAAACCAAGTTCAAAAAAGCGATACATTGTTTAATGTTTTGTGTTTTACAAAAAGCAATGCAATACAGAATATTATATTTCTTTAGGGCATTAAGCATTATATATGTTTCATATATTTAATATGTTGATACAGAACTAAATTAAATTTGAAGCCAGTTTATACAAAATTCTAAAATAATTATATAAGTATTTTAAAGCATATATGTTAAAATATGATGTAAGCATATATGATGAGCACACATTGAACATTTAATGCATTTTATGTTTCATCAAATGCGAATTTTAAGAAATGTTAAACCAGTGAATAAAATTTATTCAAAAAATATATTAAATTAAATGTATTGATAGTAATTAACAGCATTCAAACAACAGATAATTAATATTCAGTTTCACGGAATATTCTGAAAGTATTTGCTTAGCTGAAGCACCAAACACTTTTAGCGAATAAAATACCTACCCCGAAAACCTCCCCCTTCCTCTTTTTAGGCCCCTTTAGGCTTCTTTACATTGGTTAAAACATTATCTACAGTAGAGCTTTACTAGAGCTTTTCTTTCTTATTGGCGCAAATTGTAACCAATGAGATTCGCATAGGTATTTTTGTTGAAGCATGCACATAAATTTAATATTCAATAATAAAATAATAATAATTTACGATTTCTGCTGCGGAATTTCATCTTTAGCTAACAAAACTAACCATCATCATTTTTTAATGCGTTAATAAGATTATAGCTGACAAGGAACGTTTGTAATCATTGAATACACACTATTAATTACAGTGTTCATATACACAATTTATTTGTAAGTTCTGATAATAAAGCAAAATTACCTTTAATACTTAAGTAACTTTCTCGAAAAGTTAAACGGTTAAGAAAAAGCAAAATAAAATGAATAATAAAATTAATTTAAAAATTAACTTTTTATATGAATTTATGACTAATCAATTAGGAAAATAGTCTCAACAATTAATTCATTAATGTGATTGATAGAAGAAAGGTTATATGAATTTACAAATGATAATTCAATGTTAATTTTTAATATAAATAACAAAAACAAAAGATAACTTCAAAAAATCAAAATCGTATTTATATATATATATTTTTTTAAAATTTGAAATAGATAAGTTAAACTGAGAAATTTTTTTAAAATAATTTATAACGTAATAAGAGATATTGTCGTAATTCTTTCCATTTATTATGCCATTGAGCTTCTAAAATTGAGAAGAAGACTTATTTAAAACAGACTGGTGGTATATTTCATGCTAAACTAGTTAAAATGTGATTATTTACATTTAAATTGTATCCAATATGAGACGTTATTTTAAAAATATGAAAGCAAACAATATCCCAATAACATTATTCGACATTTTCACATGCTTGCTAAAAATCTAGCTGAAATGAAAACTTGAACTTTTTAAAATTCCTAAACTGAAAATGTAAGAATAAAGCAACACCAAGACATGAATTAAACAAAAAATTATAAAGTTAAAATCGCAATAGTAATATTTTTATATATGTATGATAAGCAAATACAGCTACAGCTGAAACATATTAATTTTACGATAAATAAAATAATTTTATCAAATATATTTTGTTTATTGCAGCTAATTTATTAAAATCGAAAAGAAAAATAAATTACTATTTTTTCAACAAAAATAATTGTAAGAGACTATTGTAATTTAGCGATACATTATAAAAACATAATTCTTTTTCAGTATAAATTTATATTTATACTAAATATCATGAATATTTATGTCTTGTTTAATACGAATCAATTGTAAAATATTTTTGTTTGTTACAACAAAACATAATAAAATGGGAAACAAAATAAAACAATCATTCTGTTTTCCGACAAAAAATAACAGTAGTAAGAAACAGTAACATTCTGATACTCAATAAGATAACATGGATCTGCGCTTCTCTATTTATATTATTAATTAATTAGAATTATTATCGAAATTTATTAAATATATAATTAATCGAAAACAAATAGTAAACTATCATTCTTTTTCCAAAAAAATAATAATAATTTATATCAGTAGTAAAAAAATATAATAACTTTCCAGTACACAATAAAATGCATAATTACTTAATCTGTGTCAGAATTATTAATCTAATCAGAATTATTATTTATTTTTTAATTGGAATCGAAAACAAAATAGCAAACTGTCATTCTTTTTCCAAAAAAAAAAAAAAAAAAAAAAAAAAAAAAAAAAAAAAAAAAAAAAAAAAAAAANAAAACAGTAGTAAGAAAATATTAATCTAATCAGAATTATTATTTCTTTTTTAATTGGAAAAAAACAAAAACAAAAAAAACAAGTGCTACTTTTTCAACAAAAATAACAGCAGTAGTTTGTACATAATTTGTGCTTTTTTATTTCCTGCTAAATACAATAAAATTTAAGACAAATTTTACTCACCATTCGGAGAGGGATAAATGGGCTTGAAAGCGGAATTAGGCTGATTAGATGAGGGCCGTGAAATCACTGTCGGAGCACCTGTTAAAGGCGATACATTAGCTGTCAATATAACCTCCGAACTATTAGCCATGTCCATCTGGCTAAATGGTGGATGACTTTTATTCAATTTATTTTGACAAGCCATAATATTTTGTCTAGCAGTTATTAAATCACATTTACTACACTTACAATCCTTGCGTAAGCATTTTTTCTTATGTCCCTTTACTGCAATTGTAATACCGTGGTTCCTACATCTTGCACAACTTGGAGGTTGCCGTGATTCATGTTGGTCAGTTTGAGGGGGGGCGACGCGGGGAGCTATGTTTTCATTTATTTGAACAGGATCATCGGGATTTTCTTCGTTTTCTTGACGCTTCTGCAAATATCGTCTTGCTATGTGCAGCTTCATGATTTTGTATTTCCTGCTTCCAGGCACGTGCTGGCACGCGAGATTGTTATGTAAAGCCGGTTCCGGTTGATTTCATGCTATCCACTACCGATAGATGGCAGTGCAGTGAGTTAAACCACAGATCCCTGCAGAGTTTATCCAGATAGCAGTCATGAATAAAATGATTCCTATGATACTCAGTTTCATTTGTTGATAAGATGAAATGACAAGCTGCCAAACGATCGGGTTGAATGGCAGTGGGGAGTGGAGGAGATGGAAGGAGAGTTAGATAGAAGAGGAGACACGAGATTTGAGAAACGGTCGCACGCGGTGTTAGAAGCCGAGAGGAGAAATGAAGGTTCATAACGGCCGCGTATTTGTTGAGGATCTTCGGAGATGCGCAGTTATTTGTGCGCCGCCGCGGATAAAACTATTTCTCTTTACGTCTCTCCGTTACCCCCTTGAAACCAAATAAGCATTGGTTCTACATAGTTTGCTACACTGTGTTCACTGTATCAAATTTTGAAACTTCTATTTCTAAGTCGGAACAATAATTTACATTAATAACGATGATATAACAAGCGCTCGCTTACGCTTTAGGAATTATATTAAAGGAGATGCGTTTTTTTTTTCAATGCTGTAAACATTTATTTTCAATAAAAAGTAAATATTTCAAAGCAGCTAAATATTGATTGATAACCAACCTACAGATCATGAAGACGTTTTTTTCTTTCTTTTTTAACATTATTCTACCCCTGAATGATATCTAAACAGTTCACAGAAATTGTGTTTGGAATTTAGTTTGTAATAAATCATATTAAGAATTAAACTTAGTATACATTTCTCAGACAAAATATAAATATAAGTAATTATTTATAACTATGAAATTTTCATATCGTTATAAATGATTATAAGATTTCATTTTCAAGATAAGCTTATTCATTTTCAATGAAAAGCAAATTTTTCAAAACAGCTAAATATTGATTGATAAACCAACTCACAGATTATGAAGACGTTTTTTTTTTTCTTTTTTAACTTTATTCTACCCCTGAATGAAATCTAAACAGTTCACAGAAATTGTGCTTGGGATATCGTTTGTAATAAATCATATTAAAAATTAAACTTTGCATGCATTTCTCAGACAAAATATATGTATAAGTAATTATTTATGACTATGAAATTTTTATATCGTTATAAATGCTTATACTCGAGCTTTTTATTTATTTCTCACGTAACACCACAAAAAAGGGGCAGTTCTTTTCGAATTTAAATATCGGAACCCAGGTACATTTTTAACGATCGAGCAATGGGTTTAATTTCTTTTTCATGATCCGTTATTAATATTTGTGAATAGAAGATTTTGTTAGTAGGCACTAGTTAAGTCTAAAACTAATTTTACGTCCAAAAACAGAGTTTTAAAGTGAGAATCGTTAAATTACGCTTGCAGTACATTTACACATTTTTTCATATTAGTAATACACACATATAATAATTAATATTAAAAATTTTAATAATTACATATGAGATTATTAATAATTAATCTACGAAAATTATTAATAATCACATATTAAAATTTTCGCGATTTTATCGTTTTTGACGCATGCATTTGAGATGGGTAGTAAAAATTTTATAATGAATTTTTTTTTTGTACCTTTACGGATTTAAATTTATCGATTTTTTTAAATTTTTTAATTCAATGGTACAAGGATTTGAAATTTATTTCCTTACTAAAAAAGCAATTAATTAATTAATTAATTAATTTAGCAATTTGAAAAGCAACGATTTTTCTGTTTTAATTATTATCTTTTAGCACTAATTATGTAATTTATTGTACATAAAGAGTTCTACTAAAATTTTTAATTATTGGAAAATTTGAGTAATATTAATGAAAATATCTAATTAAGAGTTTAAATTTAATTAAATCAAGAATTTCATAGTTTGCAAAAATTTTCATTGATTTAAGAAACATTTTCTCGTTTTTTATTCCACTTCGAGTATAATTTTAAGCACTAGTATTACGTTTTTATTGAATTATTTTTGCAACATCTGAGCATTTTTATTTTAAATGTGATAATTTTATTTTTTCTTTCATTCGAACTATGAACTTTAATAAAAAATAAAACGGTACTTAATACCTAAAAAAACTTTACAAAAAAATAGAGTTAAAATTGTGAAACTCGAATTAAAGAATTTTAATTTGCTGCTAAATATCAAATAAGACGGTACATCAAATGAGGTTAGTTTTAAAAAAATCTGATGTTAAAAAACTGCAAAAATATTTTAACTCTTCATAAATTTACAATTACTATTTTTTAAACATTTATTTGTATTTTATAATGGATGTTTTAAGATTTAAAGTAGCAGCGCATAAAAGAGTTATTTCGTTTGCATTATATTACAGCTATTTTTAGCAAGAGATAATGAGAATAATGAGAATTATTGCATTACAGTAGATTTCAAATCTATTATCAAAAAGAGTTTAAATCCATTATCAAAGAACATTGAAAAGCTATTATGTAAGAATAAATAAATAATATGTTTTTAGAATAAACAAATAAATAATATGTTTCTAGAATAAACAAATAAATGATATGTTTTTAAATTCATATAATTTATATGCATGTACTTCAAATAATGTATTTAAATGGCATGATATAGCTTTCAATTGTTCATTTTTTTTCTTTTTTTATTATATAGTTATTAATCCACAGTTATTAAGTAATTTATATTTATTAATTTATATTTATTATTTTATATTTATAATTCTATTGTGCATTATTTTAAAAATTAATTTAAATAAATGTGTTTATTTATCTTTTACTTAATTGATATATATTTATTAACCTATTGCGAAGTGTTTATTAATGCGTATTTATACGATTTAAAATGTTAGTTATTAGTGCTCTTTTTACTTTATATTTCTTTAAATTTATTTAAATGATTTATTTATTTTATTTTTCTTCATTTAATTTTCTTGTACGCTCATTTAACTTTTAAAAATTTGAATAGCGAAGATCAATAATTTTAGTTTTCTTTTTTTTTTAAAGATATTTTAATAGTTTTAAATATTCTTATCATACATTTATAATTATAAATTTGAAAAGAAAGTTATTATTAACATTATAAGACATAATTAAGTATAAAATTTAATTACAATGTTATAATTATATTTAATTATTTATTATAACATATTTAAGTTATGTAATCTTTTTTATTAATGCAAATTATTATGTATTCTGTTTATTAATAAAAACTTAATTTTTCTCTTTCAGCTATTAAAATAAAATTCAAATAAACTTGATTATTAAAATAAAAATGAAAGGCAGTTTCTTTACCTTTCAATTTTGTCCTTAAATTAATCTAATAACAATAGACTTTAATAACAAATCACTTAACAATACACTTTCTTCGTTTAAACAGTCCCGTTAAGAATTTCAATACTAAAGTTTTATTTTTGAGCAAAAACAATTTTTTAAAAATATCTTACTCATTTATCATAAGTAATTTTTTTAATTTATTTAAATTCACTTTAATGTTAGTTTGAGTAATTTGAACATAAATTTAGTTTTTACTTTTTCTAGTTAATACTTCAAGTAAAAATAAGTTTTAATCGTAACATAAAAATAAATAAATAAATAAATAAATTAATTAATGAAATAATAAATAAATAAATAGAATGAAATGTAAGTGTAAATAAATAAATAAAATAAAATAAATTTCGCTTTTCTTAACATGGAAAAAAATTTTTTTCTTCTCCGCATAGAAATGTATTTTAAACAATAATTGTAATCTATTTTTATTTTTTTTAAATTTCTGATCACGATATAACAGTTGTATATTTTATACAGTAATTGATCAATCATTTTTACTTAACCCATTTTCTTATCTGTATATGCATTTTAAATAGTGATCGCATTTTATGTAATTTTTTTTAACCAACTTTTCTAACTTTTTGTTACGGTATGAAATAAAAAATATGAATATCATTGTTGGTTCACTATTAATATTTCAACAATTTACGTACTGAAATTCGATTTTTTTTTAAAAGAGAAGAAAATTGGCCTTAGGTGATTTTTATTAAAATGTATTTACCTTGAGTAGGTGTAAAAGCAGACGATTTGGGTGTTATTATCCCCGACGACGGCGATAATCCAGGATTCGTCATAACTTCTTGGGAAAAAGAATCTGTTCTACCGAGCTTTTGGTCCTGCTCTTGCTGTCGTCTCAAAGCTACTTGTTGTGCCATAATCCTTCGTCTTTCATCAACAAGCCTGCATTTCTGACAAGGACATTTTTTGAACGGACAGTACTTTTTATGATACTGAAGTGTATAACAACAACCGTGATTCTTACATTTTGCACAAGTTGGAGTTCGCTTCTTAGAATTTTTCTTATCACTTGAACCACCCTCTCTTGGGTCAGGAATTTTTTGGCAATTCCTGCTGCCGACTTCGCCTGAATCGTTCCTAAGTCTGACTTCAGCCGAACTGCTTCCAACAGCAGCGGGACTGCTTTTAAATTTGACTTCACTCGAATTGGAATTCGGATAATAAGTACCAGACGGTGGCATGCTGGTATTGGAATTAGGAGAATGAAATTTAGTTCTAGAGTGGACGTTATAACTTAATTCTGGAGTATTCTTTGAATATGAAGGATCCATATGTCCTTCAGTTATATCACAGATATTTGTTTTAATAACGCTAACTGTATGTTTTTTGCTCTTTTTGTATTTAGGCGTTTCTCGGAATCTTTTCAACACTTCTTTCTTCATGTCAAGTATACCTTGTCAACACGTGCTTTCAGTTGTCATTTTTGGCTGAGGCACGCCTCCTCATTATTATTTAGTCTCTCTCCTTCCTTAAACTAATTTTTTATTTTGTTTTCTTCCTCATCCTATGCGAGCGTCACAATCAGCTGCTCCGTTTTGTTTACTTGGCGACCGGCGCGCACCGTCGCGGACTACCTGGCGAAGTCATAACACTCCGATAGCGAAGATGCGAATGGTTTGATGAGAGTTTGCAGGCTTAGGAGGGCTTCAACCTATTCCAGCGCCCTCTCCTAAGTATAGTTGAACAGCAAAACGAAACCAAGTTTTCGAAGTCAGTATTTTGCACCTTAATTGTGTGCGGGGACGGAATTCACGCAGTTTGTTAAAAGATAATCAATCATTTTAATTAAGTGTTCTAAAGAAAAATATCACACATCATTTTTTTTTTTTAAATATAAAACTAAAACAAGATACCGTTGAATAAAAATAATAGAATATTTGTGCATTTCTTTTTTTTGTAATTACCTGTGCATACTTATTAACTCTTAAACAATTAAAATTTTATTTTTAAATACTTATCTACTGCACGAGCGGCATTATGATAGAATCGACTGATTTAAACAAACTGGATTTAAACGGGCACATCTTTTAATTTAATTGTTTTTAAAGAAAGAGATCACACATAATTTTTTTTAAATATAACAAGATATTGTTGAATAAAAATAAGAGAATATTTGTGCATTTATTTTCATTTTTTTTTTTTTTTTTNTACTTCTGCGCATTTATTTATTTTTAAAAATTTACAATGTTATTTTAAAATACTTACTGCTCAAGTGGCATTATGATTTGTAATATAATCGACTGATTTACGCGATTATTTTTTCAATATTAATTTTAATTTATAAACATTTGTATAAATTAGTGTAAATACATGTTTGACAGAAAAAAGTATCCCGATATAGATCTGTATTAACAATAAATATTTCAATTATATCATCGATTGAAGTAATTTTGTACTTGACAAATGGTATTTCAGCGTTTAAATAAAGTACAAATTAGTCTTTCAAACAAGTGATAGTTAATTTAATAAATAATGCCAAGAAACTGGAGCTGTAAGATTTTATACCTGATCAAAAACTTCATTCAAAGGAGCACATTTTCAAGACAAGTCAGACGTAAATGAGAAGAAACGAAAGTTAATTGATTAAAACTGAATTATCATTATGTAGGAATAGACTTTGAAAAATACACTTGATCAACTAATATTAATTTGGTTTAACGAGAAACATTAATTTCTTCGTTTTTAAAGGAATCCTTCCCTACAAAGCTGTAACTATTTATTTACTTTAAGTAAAAAGCTAGCGTAATTCATTTTTACACAGCAATATTATTGACGTCGACAATATAAAGAATATATATCAAATTGATGTTGAGGATACTGGTGTAGAAGTTCATGGTGGAAAAAAAAATTTAAAATTCTTTTTTTTTTTTGTTAAGCTTGTAAACTAAGCATTTTTTTGTTCGTTTGTTTCGTTTTAAAAAAATGGAAATGGTGAATATTAATGAATGAAATGAAATAAATAAATATTAAAATATTCAAGTAACTTTTTGAATTAAAAAAAATTTTTAGTTTGATAAAAAAAAAGGAAGCTGCAAAGCGAATGTAAGTAAAATATATCTTGTGGTTTACTGCATAGAAATATTTGGTTTTTAAATAATCTGAAAGGATTAACTCATTATATTAGAGGGGTAACTCATTAAATTAGAAGATTAACTCATAAAATGATTAACTCATTAGAAAATTTATTTAGGATTAACTTATTTAAAATTTTAAGTTAAAAGCATAATGGAAAATTAAATATAATGTGTATGGAATAATATACGTTTTTAAGAAAATTGTCTCCACTATTATTTTTTTCAAACAATTTTACTGTTCTGATTTATGCTAAATAATACTGTTAAAGTTGAAAAAATTCACCGTTAATTTATTGTTTTTTTTCCTTTTTGAAACTTTTTTTTAGCTAATAATCGTAGAACTGATTTTATGGTATTCATTTTTTTTTAAACTCATGCAGATTCAAATAATGAGGCGGGGAGGGGGAGCATTTTTTAACTAATGCTTTGATAGTTATGAAATTTCTATTAAATAATAATATTTCAAATTCTAAAATACTAATTTGACTCACTTTGCGTCATTGTGAATGCAGACGATGCAGTTTGTTGAGCTTCTGTCATGACAGGGGTTGGCGGTTTCTGAATTGGTTCACTTATCATATTTGAATCAGTCTGATGATTCAATAATCGCTGTTTTCTCTCCAGTTCTTTCCGCGCCGCATCTTGAGCCTGCTGCCGCCTCAGAGCTACCTGTTTCGCCATTATATCTTGGCGCTCTTTAACAAGCAAGCATTTAGGACACCCACAATTCGCCCAGTCGCAGAAACGCTTATGGTCCTTTAAAGCAGTTATAAAACCGTGATTCCTACATCTTGCACAAGTTGGGTGACGTTTTTTCTCCTTAACGTCTCCGACGCTTTCTCCCGAAACAGGATCAGGATCGGGATCATCCGACAAAAAACTGCCTTGATCCTCCTTGATAACGCTTCCAGCAGGAACTTCAGGGGAGTTGCATCGTTTCCTTTCTTTTTTCGGAATTTTATTCACCCTGTTATTGTCCTCGGTGATTTTCCTTTTCACTCCCCGAATTTCCTTCAGACTAGAGTTAGAGCTCATTTCCCGATTTTTTTCGGAATTTTTGACGTAACCATTCCTAAATTCCTGAGCATAACCATTCTGATGTGAGTGTACATCAGCGATTTCACTGTTTGGTTTTGGGTGACCGTTCAGAAAATCATCGTTCGGATTTTTTCCCACCGGGTTATTGTAAATGTTTTGGAAATCCCTGGGTTCCTCGTGGAAGCGCCGTCCGAGAAATATGTCTTTTTTCATGTCTTAAAAGTTAACGAGAAATTGAATGAAATACACACGTGATCCTCGCAGCGCGCCCGCCGGTAAATCTTATAGCCTTCCACATTGCTGTCGATGAAATAGCTGTGAGCGTCGGGAGCTATGATATTGACTGCTGTCTGTGAGAATATGACGGGTAGAAAAGGTAGAGCAAATGCCATTCCTAGTGAGCGGAAGGCAGCGCCATCTCTATTGCCCCTACATAGTAGAAAAAGTAACTCTGTATTACATTTGTTATATTTTTCTCCCTACGAGTTTTCTTAATCTGTTAAAAAAGGAAATAGCTTTTTCCTCGTAGAGGATAAAATTATTTTTATAATTATTATTTAATTATTGATCTTTCATTAATTGTAACTCCTTTAAAAAGAAAAATAATAATCGCATATTTTGATTTGGAATTTTTTAATCCCAGAATTTGAAAAAGTTCATTTCTCCTGTGTAATATATATATATATATATATATACATCTTGGGCTTAGGTGAACTTGCCCTAGCTTTAAGTAATCCTGTATATATATCAAGCTCAGCTGGGGGGGGGATTAAAGTTTTTTGGGCTAGAACCTCCAAAAGCGATTCCGAACTCATCTCTATTAGATATTTCTTATTATTACTAGCAAAATGGATACTACTACTGATAACTACGTAAAACGGATTACAATTATATGTGATAACACATCTATTATTCAATTTCAATAATTCAACTTTTTCCTTATGAACGTCTTTGTAAAACAAATTTGACTTATTAACAATTCTGTAAATAATTCATAAGTAAAACGAGCATAAAATAAATATAAAAATTTATAAATAACTCCATATTACTACGTCTTACTGAAGTAAAAGTGTTTAGATAGTACCGAAATTCATACAAGAATGCATTCCATCAATTTTAAAATAAAAATACTACCACTCAAATTTTAAGTTTATTTTTCAAGTATCACTAATATGAAATTTCGATTTCAGAAATTTCTATTTTAGAAATATAATAAAATGCAGTACTATACAGTGAACGAAAGAGTTAGCATTATTTAGAATTATTTATCGATATAAAGAGTTAATAAGTGTTATTTTATCTGGGAATAAAAATACTTTTTATTTGCATGTAAAAAGTTTTTAATGCATGAAAACAGTACATGACGAATAACGAGACATGACGAATAACATAAAAAGTGAAATTTAAATTAAGGCGCCCTAACTATAGTCCTCTCCTGACTATACTAATTGGGCCATATTTTCTAGATTGCCGCTATGAGCTTTATATAAGGTAAGGATGAAAGACAGGGAATTCAGTTTAAATGAAATATGATAAAGAAGCGAGGAGATATTTTATAAAAGTATTTTAATAAAAAATAATAAACACCGACAAATATTTTAAAGCGAAGCGTTCTATTTATGTATCAGATCTGTTGCCACCTTCTTTTTACATAAAAGTTAAACTTTTCTCCGCTGTGACAAAATTAAACTTATCCTTACTATTCCTGTCCCCCCCCCTAAAAAGATA